TTTATTGATTTTATTTGACAACTCTGTAATAAGAGTTTGTATTGTTTTTCCTTGTAGCTTCATTATGTTTTTCCCAGCCTTAGCCCACCATCRAACCCTGAATCAAGAAGTGTTTATACTTTCTGGCTGCAGGTAACTGACAATAAACTTTTTTCTTGGTTATTTCCTAGTCAAGGTATTTGATTAATAAGATATTAGATTCTGTTTGTAGGTTCATTGCTGACAGGTTTGCTTCTAATACCAGTCTTTTATTATCTTAGTATTGTAAGGTAAGCAAGTCTACTAGTCAAAATAGTCTTTGCTAGATAATATTTGGCCCTTTTATGTGCTGAAAGGGAATCTGTGAATGAACTGTGGATAAAGTTACCCACATCATATATTATCTTGAAAGAGTTTCATATATATCTCATAGATAAAACTATTCACCCTTCTTATAACTGGCTGAGATGTTATATATTTATTCCCATATTGCTGCTAAACCAGGTTAAACAACATAGTTCACACAAAAGCACATCAAAAGTATCTCACACTAAAGTATCTCAAGGTGCACTATTGACGAAAATAGTAATATTCTGCACATTCACTATTAAATCTTCAGAAACTCTGCAGAGGAGTGGATTGGACATATCTCTTTTTATCTTGTCCTAATTCTGGCATTCTTCTCATTTTTGCTACCGTGGACGTACTTAATGCTTGGTGGTGTAAACCCGTTAAGCTGGTTAATCCACTTCATAACATATACAAGAACAAGAGTAAGTTCATTGCTTCTTTTCTTACTGTTGCAATTGATCTTTGTTTGTGCACTTCTATCACCAATTTTATTTATTAATTTTTATTTATTGATGTTTAAGTATTACCTGGTTGGTTATTGGAGCTGCATTGTGTTGTTATCTATCATGATTGTCGTCTCAAAGAACTGGAATAATACACAGACAACAACTGTCACTCGGAAATACTTTCATGTTCTGGCAATTGCAGTGTTTCTTCCTGGAATTATGTTGGAGTCCAAGTTAACACATTTAGCTGCTTCAGTTGCACTGGCTGCGTTTATATTTATAGAAGTAAGAAACAAATATATTGATGCATGTTTGAATGGATACAACACAATTTATTAATCAACCAGTCCACCAGCCAAACTACTTGACAATGAATTGAACTACTGACCAACATACCAACCATGCAAAATATTCACCAAGTTAACAACCAACCTACACTTACCCACCAGATGTTCCATCACACCAACGAAGTCCTAAACCTATCACATAACCAATTTACTGACCTAACCAACCCACCACCAATCAACATACCAACCCACCAGCCAAGAAGCCTAGCCACCAACCAATCCACATGTACACAACATAGAGCGGATTTCGTATGAGTGGGAAACGGACAGTACTGTACTGTGTCCGTAACCGTACTGTAACCAAATTCTTGTGCCCCATTGTTTCACCAAAATTCTGCAGGCCAGGTGCGGTAACTGTGCGGTAACCGTGCGGTAGCGGTGTCCCACTCATACGAAATCCGCTCTATCAACCAACCCACCCACCCACCAACCAACTTACCTATCTACCAACCAACCCACTAACCAACACACCAACTAAAATATCCACCAATCTGGCCACCTACCTAGTACTAGCCTTATCCCTACACTAACCATAGTATTCATTTCCAGTATGTACGGTTAGGTAGAATTGAGCCGTTTGGTGACTTAATACACCATAGCTTACAAGTCTTTCTTGATGAAAAAGACTCAGGCAACGTAATTCTAACACATGTCTACCTTCTTTTTGGATGTGCAATTCCAATATGGCTGTATCCTGTATATCCAGGTATTTTCATTTTAACTAAATTGGTGCATGTCAGTGTAATCATGTGGAGATTTGAAGAAAATATTTGTAACATTTGAAAACATTTTTAAGCACGTAAACCAACCATTGATGTTCTTACAGCTGCAGTGAAAACTGACTGGAGTATTTAATGCAAGCATTTTGGCCAATTTGTTTTTAATAATAGTATTTTGAACTGAACATTATTAAAGTCTGAATGTGTGACAAAGGAAAAGAGGCAGCAGTTCACATTATTTCATCAGACAGCTGCTAGCAACACTTGGCATCAAGCTTCTCAATGTTCAGTTCAGACTGTCAAAAGAGGTGGAATGGAAAAAGTGTTTACATTAAACACAAAATCTGTTTTGGCAAAATCAGGAATTGAATTCTTTTCTATTTCCTATTGTAGAAAGGTCAAGTGCATTAGCAATGTACTCAGGAGTATTGTCTCTGGGTGTTGGGGATACTTTGGCATCTCTTGTTGGAAAAAAGTATGGTCAAAACAATTGGCCTGGTGAGTGTGTTGTATTTTWAAGSCACTTGGTTCAAACCGATCTTTGACTACACTTGAACATGTATAGATTTTATAGCATGAAGATATAGATGATATTAGTATGGTTGCATTAAAGAGGGCCGAGTCCTCGACAAAGGAATGAATTAATGAACAAAAATGAATGGATGAAGAAATGGATGGATGAGCAAATGAATGGATGAACAAATGAATGGATGAACAACAGWATGGATGAAAAATGGATRAATGAATGAATGCAYATATGAATGAATGAATGTAAAATGAACAAGTGAATGACAACACATGAATGCATGAATAAATCGATATATTGACCACAAACAAGGAATTAATGTATACATATAATTAAATATAAATCTCACAGGCAGCAACAAGACACTTGAAGGAACAATGGCTGGTTTAATGGCACAGTTCATATTTATTGGTTTGTTGTCCAGAACAGGTAAACCCTTCTTATTACTTATGATAGCTTCATCTATGGAGGAAGTACTGCTTGCAGACTAGGAGKAGTTTATTAGAGTTTGAAACTTGAKAAAGCTKCATTTTGGCTGGCATAATGTCAACATCAGGCTCCTTTGCAAACATCTTTTCTAGCCATGGTTTCTTACCAACATTAACAATGTCAGCAAATGAAGCTTTTTAGACAGGGTCTTGTGAAAGTCTCATTGTTTAAAAATGTAATTCTGTGGATTTATATATTTCAGGTGTTGTTAGAGTGGTTAATTGGGTTGCCACTGCGTTATGTGTAGCTGCTTGTTCACTTTTAGAAGCCTGGACATCACAGATAGACAATCTAGTCTTACCTCCATTTCTATATGCACTTATTGTAGTTGCTTGTAGATGATGAAACTGAACAAGCCTTACATTTAATGTATATATATTTTGTAAATAAACTATTGGTAATCYGATTCTAGAGTGATTGCACTTAAACCATGCAACTGTACAAACTAAATAGTGCTATTTAGTTATATTTAGTAAATCGTGCATGCAGTACGCAAATTGAATTGATACAAATGAAGCATTCAATACCGTCTTGCTTCAGGTCAACTTTTAGTACAAATTAGTACTTTTTAGATTTTGTACAGTTGCACGGTTTAAGTCTGATCACTCTAGTAGAATTTACTGAAGACTCTTCCCTCAAATGGACTGGCATACCTCAAGTCAACATATACTGTTTGATCGTTAGAGTTCTAAGTAGTTTGGATTGCTGTAAGTCCCCATACCCTYCCCTCCCTAATACATGAAAATTCACAGTGCCCATCATACTTTGGTCTTTTTTAGAGTTTTTTCAGAGTAGCACAACAATTTTGATATCATCAATATTTCAAAATGTTATTATCTGAATTAAAAATTCCTTTTATTTTCATAGATAAAGCCTGTTTTCTCTATTTTGGTAATAATATGAACCTGAAAAGCAATCTGTTAAAATTTTAAGTAACCAACCTTACATAATGTATAAATCAGCTGCTATTTACAAAATAATGAGCTCTTTGAATACTAATTGTCAACTAACAGAAAAGTCTCTTTGACAGTTCCCTGAAARCCTCWGCATYGAAGCTTGACAAATTACCAGTGAATGTGCAATGAAAGTGTTCTTTTTTCACACCTTAAGACACTCCATGATACATTTATTGCAAGCTCCCTGATCTTGTTACCTTTCAAGATGGCCGAGGGAACTGTGAAGGAGTCAAGCTATAGTTAGAGTTGTTTKCACAGGGAGAGCCTACGTAGCACTCAAATAATGTAGYATATTCATAAAGATATAATACAAAACACAATACAATAGAACGAGAAACAATGGAATACAATACATTTTATGAATACACTACATCAACTGCGTGCTACGYAAGTCCCCCCGGTATACACTCTATCTAGCATTAATTACACAAAGCTTCTAGGAGTACAGCAATGAAGGTTCAAAACAGTTAATTTAACTACTTCAATGTTTAATTACCRCTACATTAATGTGATTTTAACTAAATAAGGTCCTGTCCATGCTTAGACATCTCTGTCTACAGAGCAATTGAGATACAAAAATGACTCTTACAGAAAAAAATAACAGGTTGCTTAAAGTTTGACTAGGGTAGCATGTTCATAATAATTAACTTTGATTACTAAGTGACCTTTTGTTTTTCAAGGGGTAAAAATATGTTGGCCTCCGCTCCCCTCTCTCTGCTAATCACCAACTCTCTTAAACAAATTTTCCTGGTTCAGGTTTAAACTTATATGTATTTAATTATCATTTTTCTTTATTGTTTATAATTAAGCTAAAAATAACCTAACATTTTTTATACTTCTTTACAATCTTTCCTTTTGTTAGGGCTTATTTTGAGAGGGACAGGAAGCCCAACAAAAGCAGAGGCTGCGAGGAAAACTATTTTTATACCAATAAGGAGATTTTATAATTCTAGTTATTATAGTGTTGTTTAATAGTACCTGTCATTCATTTATAATTTTCCGTTCAATAATACTTTTATGGGAGATCTTCAATATGTACATATCATCTTTTTTCTAAAACAAAATAGTCGTGTTTGGGAAATACAGGGTTTTTCAGGTACTTGTGCTCTGCGCCTTTGATATTAAGCTTTGTGCGYGAGTAATGTTCAATAACTTCTGGGACGTTGTCAAATGGCTGGCTAAACTGCCCCAGAACAAACTTGTCTCCATTTCGTACAATCTTCAAATGCATAAAAGCATTATTATTCCTGTGAATAAAAGCAAACAAGGTTAATGACAACTTTGGCATGTTCACAGAGACTTTTCCTRTATTCTAAAAATTACCATGGAAATGGGAATGCAACTCTCTGGAGGACAAAACAGASCTAAATTCGCTAGATGACCGATCAAATCAGTTTTGAAAGGACAAATTGACCTGCCAAATTTTTAGATCTTTCTAAATACAAAAACCTATGAATTAAAAGAAAATAWTAGTCAAATAAAGTAACTTTTTGTCCTTTCAAAACTCGACATGACYTTCMAAAAATGAATTTGGAAGGACATCTTGTCCTGCATATGTCTGGCCATTATTTCAAGCCCTGAAAAACAAAGCACTCTCATTCAAACCACAGCAAATGCATTAGTACAACCTTTCTTTTGACCTCCATATGAAGTTACTTTGATGATAAACAAGAGGACATAATAGCTTTTTTCTTACTTTAATGACAAAGAATAGTCTTTCCTGCTGCTTTCACTGTCCCTGACCAAGAACGAGCAATCTTCTTCGTATTTTAATAAACATTCAGCTTCAACTCTTGTTACTGGACCATGATACCATCTGATAAATTGATTAATATAATAATTAAATTAATCATTCGTGAAGTCTACAATCAGAAAGCAAAAGTTTTGTACTATAAAAAACTGTTGTTTTTTCTTCACCATTTAGAGTAAAGAAAGCTAGGAACATTCACAGCCATATCATAGCATATAGCTATCCTCACTTAACACAATACTCTCGTTATCCATACATGTATTTTATCAAACTTACTCCTGTTTTTGAAGAGGTTTAGTGGTATCAATCGCTAAACCTTTACTAGAATTATCAACCATAGTTCTTGGTGGTTTTGTAGGGGCTTCCGTCTTGGGTTGTGTTGCCATGGAAACTAGCTGACTAGTTCTTTTATTGTACTCCCATGGTGAATCATAATCGTCAGCTGGCCTTGCATCGACCTTTGGTGCTTGATTGGCTGTTTTACTTTGTTCAGTGAACTGTGACGTCATCTTTGCTGTCCACTCCCATGGTTTGTCATAGTCATCACATGGCCTACCATCTTGTGTAGGTATGTGGGTTTGGTATGTGTGTGGTTTAGTAACAGTTGGTTTTGGTGACAGTTCAGGTTTAATGAGACCTCTACTTTCCCATGGCGATTCATAATCATCTACAGGTCGATTGTCTTCAGTTTGGGTTTGAGGCCTGAAATACACGTTGAAATCATTGAGTATGAAGTACACCATTGTGTATACCAATACTCTCAATATCAGTCAAAATATCTTTGTTAGGTTGAGGTTGAGAATTTGACTGCAACATTAAGATAAGGAAACCGCTACATGTACATGCATCAAGGGCTTCAAAACACAATACTCATTGTTGACCTCGTTGTTTTTTTAGGCTGTACAATACACCACATTACTTTACAATAGTTTTTTCATTACAAACACAAATGAACCATACTTAGTTTACTGCCAGTTATCTCTTTATAGAGACTTATTATCAATGTAAACATTAATATCTTCATTACTACAGGAACCAGGAAAATATGGGGAGTTTATTTATTATAAATCTATTAAATATTTTATTAAAGGAGTGTCATTAACCTTAGTTCACTGCCTGTTGAGGGACTTCTCATCCCTTTCAGTGACATCTTCTTTGCTTGTTCATCCAGCATTGTTATTTTTCCTGTGTCATATGGCTCAGTGTAGCTATCTTCTTCTTCAGAATCATTTTTAGGTTGCTGTGCAGAAGCTGGTGTAGGTCCCTGTGCATCCCATGGATCTATATATTCATCTCTGACACCTGTCAATCAATCACCAAAAAATTATTTATTACTTGAGTTTATCAATTCATTGTTAAACTATATGATTGCAAAGGTCCCAAGATATCCCAAAATCAACCATTTTTTCATGTTCAACGTTCATTGAAGGGGTCTTTCATCCTCCTTCTAAGCACTATAACTTTCTATTATTTCCTGTTCATTGAAATAGTCATTTATAATACACACACTCTGGTTCAGTGACCAAGAATGAAGCACTTAACTAGGGTGACAAGGTACTGTGAGAAATAAGAAAAGACCTGTGCTTAGCGTAGCTTGACACCATGGTTCAATACTTTGTGGTCACTGAACCCGAACTTGTGAAATACACTGTGTGGTCTCCCTTCCCTCAGTTCCCTCCCTTTCTTTAATACAACTCAGTATCATTTGCTTTGGTTTAGGTATATGCCCTTCCACTAAGTTCAAAGGCTTGCTGTAAACCCCTCCCTCTCCTCCCTCCCTATAATACATACCTGTTGTATTTACTTTTGGTTTAGCTATGTTTCCTCCTCTTCTTGAGTCCCAAGGGTCGCTGTAAACCCCTCCCTCTCCTCCCTCCCTACAATACATACCTGTTGTATTTACTTTTGGTTTAGCTATATTTCCTCCTCTTCTTGAGTCCCAAGGGTCGCTGTAATCATCCAGTGGCTTCTCTTGAGGTTTGGATACATCAACAGGGTCACAATAATCATCAGCACTGCTTGTTGATTTATTTTTATTTCTTGCATCCCAAGGATCACAGTAATCATCCATATCCTACATATCCAACACAATATGCCTTATTATTAGATTAAAAGGTATAATACGGACAATATTATTATAAGARGATTAAATAAGGATTTCAGAGCATTAGCACTTGCAATAATATTATACATTCAGTGAAATTTGTATAGGTATAATAAACAAAAACAAAATGCTGGAAAGTAGGTTCAGTTCTGAATTATACTACAAAGCCTTTTCAACCATCCTTCACTTATGTCAATCATTGTTGATAATACAATTTGTGTAAAAAGCTAAATCCAATTCTGATCTAAATCCCCAAGTTATCATAAAAATAAAGGTATTGCTTCACTACATTGTAATAAGCTTCCCACATTATTTCCTATGTAGATAAAAAACAATRTACCTTTGACATAACAAAGTCATTGATAAAATATCTGAAATGGTTATTTACTTAATTGAGGATGAGAATTTACTGAAATAGTGAAAGTAAAGATAAAATTTAGTTGTTTACCAATGTTCTATGTCCTGGTCTGTTTCAACTKTACTGATGCTCAAGCCAGCAAATCATATGATATGACAGTGCATTGTGTATTATTTCAACTCATGACATTAATYATTAACAGCCATGCTGTTATTCAATTAAATTCTAATTGACAAAGTGTGATATATCAGGCATGTTTTATCTGCTCTTGTTGTTTATGCATTTWTAATACAACTGTTCACTCATGTAAATGCTGAAATTTGTTATAAATGTTGTTCGGTAGGGTTTTCGCTTTGAAAGCAGAAATCGAATTTACATAATTATAATGTGTTTGATTAAACAAAATCTCTTCCAGTTTGATGGAAACTATTAACATATCTTATAAGAAACAAAACATTCTCTMWACTGTGTTTAGCTTAGAAAATAAATTTAGTATTTGGTATAAATTATTATGTTTTCTTTGAGAAATTGGAATAATAAGMACATGATCAWAYAYTTCAAAATATATAAMTCTTGTGACKTTTACATGCTGTAATATTTTGTTAWCTATGTTAATATACATACAAAAAGAGCACAAAAAATTTACAACAATCTCAATCTAATATTTAATATTACAACATTAAGGTGACAAAAAAAATTAATAATTATATTCACCACAAAGAAAGCTTACAAATGCAATTATTTCAACCACTGCTGTAGCTGAAATTCAACTTAATGCTCAGCTATGTCACCAGGTGCTCACCTTTGCAATTCTAAAAATAACTTAACTAATTACCATTCAAGAGAATAATAGCAATAATTATGTAAACCAAATGTTTTAAATATTTCCTTTAAGGGATGTTTCAAATTCACGACATGAAATGAAACCTTTTAGCTGCTCTGAGTTAAGATTATATCCTGTACAACAAAATATATCAAAATCTTTCTCTTGAGAAAGCTTTGATGTATAAATACAACCAATATTTTATAATTYAGTGAAACTTTGATCATAAAAAACTGTAGCTGCAGTGTTAATGAGTAGAACATTTTTTTCATATTATTTGTAACTTGTGTGCTGCACTGGGCTTCATAGCTGCTAGAAATGTTTTGTCCAAGTATAATAAAAAAGTCACTAGAACATGCCACTTAGTAATGACTGACAGTTCAAAGAAAACGATGTGGAACTTGCCACTTTCAGTTTCATCTCTTTCTAATGAACAGTAGACAATGCCGCCAGATCTAGCATGTGCTAATTTYTTCATAATTTAAGTTAAAACAATACTCAATGACAAACAGCAAAGATTCAAAGAGGAAGAGGAGCGGAAGAAAGAATATATTAACAAACCTTGATCTGGCTTCCTGGTTGKYCTTCTGGGATTCTGCTTGTATGAACTGTTCTTGGTTTCACTGTAGGTTTGGTTACGTTGTCTGATGGACCTTTATGGCTTCTATCCAGCGAATGGGATGATGGAATCATAGGGTGATTTGGTCTAGGGGGCGGATAGTTAGGCATTTTGGAGCTTAAACTTCCCGAGCTTGGAGGAAGAATGGCATGTATATTTGTTGGATCCATATAGCTGTCTTCATCAGAATCTCCATCACCGCTATTTTGCCTTCGATCGTAATCTTGCCGTGGTGGTTCTGGGGGCTTTTTGCCTCCAAATTTAAACAATTTCCCTATGCCCGCCATCTTGGCCTCTTTGAAATGATCTTTTGCAATATTCACCAACCGGAAATGACGTCATTTTTATTGGTCGTGTTCCGACGAGAAGCCTAAGTACTAATTAATTGAAACAAACATTGAAATATTCTCAAAAATGCAATAAAGGCAAGCAGCTTTATATCGTATTTTATATTTTTTATGCAAATTTTAGATTTTTTAGATTGGGATTTTTTTAGTGTACTTACCCTAACTTTTTCACATTTTGGTTTTCTTGTCTAAAAACGTTTTTTCTCTTGTCTAAAACGATTTTTTTTTAATTTTTGAAATTCAAAGAAAATCAAGAGAAAAGGAAAAGGAAAGACAAAAGCCGGGAAAATACTACGTAATTGTGGGACTCCTGTGGCAAATGATGACGTTTTCTTAATCTCTATGATCACGTGTTTCCCGGAGTAAAATTACCATAAACATGGAGGATAGGGAGGAGGAGCTGCCAAAGAAAATCAAAASATAACAGCAAATATCTCTTAAACTATATAACAAAATCAATATAAATCAATATCCAGAGCTAGTCTATTTACCCAAGAGYATTTGAGCAATGTCTGGGGATCACACTCCGAGTTTAAGCGACGAAGACGAAGAGGATGGTTTGGAAGTATCTTCGCCTATTCCTTCAATGCAAGGTTATTTATCGAAATGGACAAACTATTTACATGGTTGGCAGGAACGTTGGGTTGTTTTAAAAGACGGCACCTTGTCCTATTAYAAATCTGAGTTTGATACCGCTTTTGGATGTCGAGGGTCGATAAGTTTAGCAAAAGCTACAATTGAGGTAAGTGTGCGTGTGTTTACCGATGACTCAATAATCCAATTGCGGCTTCTTTATGACAAGCCTCGTTTTATAAATTCCCTTATAAGCTTAGATGCGTTATTCCAGTCTATTATTTATTTAGAATTATCGCATTATGAAGTTTTTTCTCTAAAGAAAGCACAGTGTTTTCGATAAAATTTACAAGATAAAAATGCTTTCCAAGTTCTTTACGTTAAACAGATGTGGCAACCTTGTACATTGATGTTATAGCTGTTGACAGCATTCGAGATTGTTGGTGATGTGTCAAGGATATGCCTGGTTTTAAGATTTGATTGAATTTTGTTTTCTCTTGTCTAAAACGAAAGCATGAAGTCATCAAAATTCCCGTGTTTGTAAACAAGTTTGTTGAACTTGAGTGYTTCCATCACTTCCATGTTGATCTTTTTAACATGGGTCAGTTCACTTATAATAGTTCAAAAAAAAAACCCTCTCCCTATACAAGTAATTAATTTTAGAGATTTGCAATTGAACAACACTACATTTTTGATATATAAATATGGTAATCTTTTTTCTCTCATTGTGCCACATGCAAAGGTCTTTCATAAGCAAAATAAGTYCTTTGATTAAAAGGACTTTATGGCTCATTATGGCATCATTATTGTTCAATGTCACAATTGTTGAGTCATRCTCCAAAGTACACTAAGGCCAAGTTGATGTAAACCGTGTAAGCGCCRAAGCAGTGGATATAAGCATGAGCTCGCTTATGTTCTGCTGGTTCACACTCTGAATATTTCAAAATAAACCCATGAAACCCTGAGAAGTTAGGCCATTGATGACCTTTMTCAAACATAATAATACTAAAATGCATATATTTTTATTTACTCACACAGAATCATGAATATGATGAATGCCGATTTGACGTCAGCGTCAATGACTGTATGTACTACTTACGAGCCAAAGACTGTGATGCAAGACAAACTTGGGTTGATGCTCTTGAGGCTGTGAAGGCTGCTGAATCTGGTTATGGGTCWGAGTCAAGCCTTAGGAAAGGTGGCTCCATGCTGTCGCTGTCCTCYGTGACAAGTCTGGGAAAGTCATCAACATCATCTTTCAAGGTCAGCTTTCATTGGTTTATTCATTTTGGTAAAATTTAAATTTTTTTGGCCGATAAATGTGTTAACCCTCGATAAGGGTTTTCTCTTACAAATTTATGCATAGCATTGTGTTGTATTATATCCACATAAAGATACAATACAATAGAATATAATACGTTGCTTTACATAAATTTGTCAGAGTGTTGGATAAGTATGCCCTTGTCACACAACCAAATGGCAACTATTTTGGTAAAATGATTATTTCCARAAAACTATATTGAAGACAATAAACATTRTTATTTAATCTATAATRTGTTTTTTWACAGAAAACCAAAGGTCTTCGTGAAAAGCTGTTGGAGTTAGAAACCTTCAAAGATATAATTGGAAGGCAAATAGACACTCTACAAAGTTACTTYGATGCTTGTGCTGAAGTTACAAATGGACTCCAACTTAACAGCATTGATCTCAACCACCATGATGAGATATTTGACAGCAGTGAAGGCTGTAAGCATTTCTAYGGTGTWTGCTATTGAAACGATATTTGATCTTTAAACTTTTCATTTCTTATTCAAAATAGTGGATCATGATGCAGATGATGAAATGGATGAACTTTCCAAAACCCCAACTCCTTCATCTCTTGCTGAGAGGGTTAAYACCAAAGGCAAGGTGAACAGTACCCTTGAAGCTTTAGCAAGAGGAATTGACTTCAGAGGAGAATCAATCACCTTCAAGGCTACTACAGCYGGTATYCTTGCTACACTTGCTCACTGTATTGATATCATGACTAAACGTGAGGACTATTGGCATCGGAGGCTAGAGAAGGTAATATGAGGAGAAAAARGAGGATTTGATTATTTTGGTGTGTTTCTTTCTTGCCCTAAATATGTATTGGTTAACTTTGAAAGATTTCTTGAAATGAATATTGTATATTGTGAAAAAGACAAARCTAACAGCTGAGTCTGCATCAATAGTTTTTTGAATATTTTATAAATATAATCCAGGTTAAGTTTAGACTGAGCAAAAGAGAACTGAAAACTGGAATAATTTTGTATTAAATTTATGAAATATAACACAGGAAATAGAAAARCGCAAGAAAGCAGAAGCTTCTGCAAAAGATGCCGTGGCAAACGCAAGAAAACAGGCATTCATTGGAGGACCTGACTTTGAGGTTATTATTTATTATTTGTTGTTGTTTTACTTTATCTGGTGTCAATTAGTAATCTATGAATTTGTTTATGTATTTCCAGGAAGGTCCACATTGTGCTTTGAATGAAGAAGAATTCTACGATGCTATGGAAATAGGCTTGGATAGACAGGAAGAGCAAGATGAGATTGTAAGTTCTACAAACTTTAGTTAAACTAAATATAAATGTATTGCCTTACTGTTTTAACAATACTAAGCTTACACTTGTACTAGCCTGTAGCAGTGATGAATGGTTTTGWTTCACAGGAAAGTAAAAGAAGAACATGTACGATTGATATACCAGAGCCACCGTTAACAATCAAAGATCCACCGCATCGTATGACAGAAGAGGTATTTTGTTTTGTTATTAATAAATATATCAATTTCGATGCAACTCAATAGGTCACTTTCATCTTAAAGCCTGGCACTCACTTCAGAATAAGTGCTAGTATAAACCACATATCTCCACTTCAGTGTCATACATTTGAAGCAATTTAAGGACAGATCCATGATTTTAATAGTTAAGCTCTCCTTGTGGCTASAGTATATGCTTGCGCTAATGTCAAAATCTGTGTGAACAAGGTTGAAAGCAAAGTGAGGGAAAATCTTCAAATAATTAAAGAAAATGTSGATGAGAATTGGTATCTGGTGCATGAAGATGGGGACATGAAGGTGAGTTTATATAGTTTTTTCAGCATATAAAAAGTTGATCATTTTCTTCCAGTGTTTTTCACATAGCCTGCATAGTGGCACTCCTGGGATCCCTGTGGGCCGCTACGCAAGCTAATATGTATCACTCTTTTTTGACACATATGTGTAAGTAATATTTCTTGAAGAATGAAACTGATTTACTTGCAAAATTATATCTATTCACCAGGTATTTAGAAGGGAATATGAAGAAGGAGGAATCATTCTCGACCCTATGAAGGCTACCCATGTAATTCAGGTAAAGAATTTACAGAAAAAATTTGATTTTTTTTTTTCAAAATCCAAAAAAAAAAAAAAAATTGATATTGATATTATAATCAAAGACTAGAAAATTTATATATTGTTAACTTGTCATTAGGGAGTCACTGCTAGGGAAATGGCACATTACTTTTTTGACAAAGATGTTAGAATGGACTTTGACTGTAAGTAAGAAAGATGATATGATGATAATAGCATTGTGATAATGATTACAGATACATGTAAGATAAAGACTACCATTGGAAATGATGTCCATTGTGATTACGATAATGATTGCAAAATTTACTGTGGAACTGATCGTACTTGTGTAGCCAACTCTTGTATTTCGCACAACTCGCTAGAAATCAGTGAAAAAACCTTTACTCGCCGGACACTCGTTAGTGCGGGCAACTTAACTGTAGTAAAAATTAATGGTAATGATGCGACATTGTGTCCATAACTTTAAATTCCGATCATTGCAAATAAACTCAATCTTTCCTTTATTTCAGCAACAATTGATTATTTTGACATACTGGAGAGACTGACGGACAGCACGTTAATATTCCATCAAGTACTCAAGAGGATATGGCCTTCATCACAGCGTGATTTCGTCTTCTGCTCGCATATTCAAGACATCTCTCCCGAGGACGAGGGAGAGAGATTGGATAATGAAGTAGGRTATGCTTGGTTAGTGACTAACTACAGCGTCGACCATCCTGATGCACCGGTAAGCGTTTAAGAAGAACTGGTTCACTGTTACGGACAGCTTCAAGACAATAATTAAGTGGCCGGAATAGCGAGTTTCGAATTATATTCAGTAATGTGGTTGAAGCGTCCGTATTTTCCCGCTATATATACCGTTTACCTTCGTATTATCGGTATATATGTCCTTAGTCTAAGGCGAGAGTTGACCGCAATCATATTAACATATAAATGGGCGCTTCCAAGGACAAATATGTCTTATACTCATGAAGCATATCAAAACATGAATATGTTTTCCCACTCATATCATCTGGCTGTTTTTTTTTTCTAGATTAATAAATTCGTCCGTGTTACATGTAATGTTGCGATGTTTTGCCAAACCTTAATTGAACCAAGGGAAGAAGGGCAACCTCTAACACGTGACCACATATCATGTCGGATAACTTACAGCGCAAACGGTAAGGARGTGGAATACTTGTGAGACGTATTACATTATCGAAACTGTCTATTAATTCAAGTTCCTTTGTTTTACAGTGAATCCGGGTGGCTGGGCACCGCCATCTGTGGTTCGCGCTCTTTCCAAACGAGAATACCCAAAGTTTTTACGCAAAGTGACTGCACTATGCCAGAATGCATACAAAGACAAAGAAATTGCCATTTAAGTGAACTATTGAGCAATGCTGGTTAGGGGATCTGATGTATAAAAATGATTTCAACTGTCATCAATGATTCCACATAAACCTGGTCATTCKRGAGATCCTAGTTCAGAAGTTTCGCGATAACATTGAAASATGTGACTSTTTTATAGGGGAAAGGCCAAAGTAGAGTAGAAACACTGAAAATAGACAGAACTATTTCTGGAATAATTTGTACACTTTTAAAACATTTTGCTATTAATTTGAATCAAAAATGAACCCCCTCAGACMGTCGCATCTCAATAGGACGTTAACTTCTATGAACTGCAGGGAAAATGAATTTCGAGATGAACAATGAACAATGTCAAGTCAAAAATTGCTGGGACAACTACACAGAGCGCCGCAGACGCCTTTTTCAAGAGTTAGCTAATGCGTGCTAACCTAAATGTGTAATTGCAGCACTGCCGTTCTTAGCAATCAATAAAATCAAAAAYAATCTTATAGTCTTTGTATTAAATTTATTTATAATAATAGCTTTCGGTCTTAAATTAATTTTTTCTTCGTTGTTGACGCGCGCGCGCGCGCGTCGAAACCCCGTTTTGGCGGGAAAACGGACTGCGCGTTCGCGCCTTTATGTACTGCTGGGAAGTGAATTTTACGAAATTAGACGATTTGCCACAGCCGTTTTCCCAAAYGAAATGTAAARCTTTATTTTCTAAAATCAGTCCGTATGGAGTGGAGCGACTGCCCTTCAGATGTGACTATCCAAAGTCCGCCAAAACTGACACGMATAGTACATTTTGACTCGTCAAAATTTCTCCTCGGTGCTGGYCCGAGGCCAAGTTCTCAACAAAATGGCGACGAAGACGACTGTAGTATGARCGAGCTGCCAAACCAGTTTTCTCTTCCGGMTTTGGCTGGTGAGGTGGCTGACGCTCAAAAGCAACAGGCAAATGAGCTGAGCACTAGACAGCAAGTCTTAGAGGAACTTCAGGTAATTCAAKTTTTTATTTGTTTRAGTTGAAAAACAACTTTGSTCACGACCTTCGGCAGGAGTTATTCAAAACGCAAATCTTTCCCGTATCTTAACACCTGGATTCTTTTTCATTTCCATGTSYTATCTCTCGATTAGAAAGAACACTGCAAAGGTTAGTAATACAGCTAAAACTGAGAATTCCGACGTTGACTTTCCGATTTCATCTTGTAAAAAATACTTGATCTGACTTTTGGACTTTTAATTTTGTCTTTAAGAGACTTAAGCTTTAGGTCTATCCATTTTCAGTGCAACACATGATAGCAAATGTAAAAGAAGAAGTCTCGACTATAACTAGAAAAGTGGTGTTAGCTGAAGAAGAGGCATTTCAATGCAAACATCAATGTCAACAGAGAGAAAAAGGTTGGATAAMAACGCTCATGTTGTTGTTGGTACTGTTCCAGTTKWATCACAATGCTACAAAAAGTTGCTTTYAAACGCAATTCTTTTGCTTGCCCATAGATGTGAAAGAGCTACTWGAGTTGCAAAGGMAACTTAAAACTAAAGTCAAAGAAACTCAGAATMAGCTTGAAAAGAACAAAATGTATGGACATAACTTAAGTTATAAGCTAAGAAAACTAAAACTTCCTTTTACACTTCCAATGTATATCAATTTCTGATTTTTTTCTTGTTTAACAGAGAATATAGCCATTATGTTGATAAAATGGATTCACATCGTTCAYTAGTGGCAGAGTTTGAGTTGTCATCAGACATTGGCAAGCAAATTTCAAGACTTGAAGAGAATATTAAATCTCTTTCTGAAGAAGGTGGGCAACMATTCTCCACAGGCATGCCAAYATTTCATTTCTTTTGGGATACCTGTGGTAYCTTCCTAGCAGGGGACTGAGAAGAGRGAGGAAGGAAGAGAGAGAATTGCAAACATGGCTAGGTTTTTGTAATGATATAAGAAATGATGATAAAATTGCTTTTATCTCATGATGATATTATGAAAAGGATAGCATTCCCTCACCATAATATTTRCATGTTTTATTAGTCTCCTTGCTCAAGGATGGCCAAAATCAAGGTGAGATGGGAATTTGTGAGGAATATGAAATCCTTCAAACAGAAATTGCTCATCTCCAACAGAGCAATCAAGATAGGGAAAATGAAGTGAAACAGCAACATCTTCAGGTAATACGACAAACAATCTATTACCAGCTCTTTGAAAAGGCAAACCGGTGATGATGAACAACTCTATTCCATTATTAACAACTATAAGCCTGCTGTAGATTGTGCATCAAGTATTTCTGATCGAAGGCTGCCTTGCTGATTACTTGGCCATTGTCGTATCTAAACAGCTCGATTGTCACAGATTAAACTCAGAACTACACACACACACTTGTGCTTTCGTCCGCCATCTTTTATTATCCTACCGCTCACCTGCAAAGTGCAGATACCCTGAAATCTACAAATGTCAATACACTACAGCCATCAAAAGCAAAATAGAACAGCCCTATGTTTATAATATGACATGGTGTTATAATTTACTTGCAGATTAAAAAGGAAATGGAACGCCAAGCACAGTTACAGAAAGATACCCATCTCTTACAGGTATATGAATGGCAAAAAAAAACTTACACAGAAAGGAAATAAATGCAAAATGCATGCAAAACAAAACAAAACAAAACAAAAAACCAACATTCAAACAAATAATGACTATAATGACAACAATAAAGCAAAAACCGAAAGATTGTAAAGCAAAAGGAAATGTATTCTATGAAGGAAAGTTATTATGTTGATATACATGTCATTTGAATTCCAGAAGCGCAACCAYGCCCAATTGACTCGTCTTCAAAGACAACTTCAAGAAGCACTGGGACGAAGYAGACATTGGAATGACGAAGCTTGTAAGCTAGAAACTAGCATTGCACAAATACGCGAAAAGTTAGAAGAATGATTTGTAAGTGATGATATAACCCTACACAATAGTTACAGAGGTTCTAGATAAGGTTATTTTCTCTACACTTTCCCATGTAGTGGCAGGGCAGATTTTATGCATTTAGCCTACAGAATTCTTATTTGTAATTTWACAGAGGTATTTTTCGATGCAATGCTGGATATGTCTTCGCTTGTGTGTAGTATAAATCTCAAAGAACAAAAACGTTTTTGGCATAGTTGATAGTTTTCGAGGTGAATTTCCTTTAGTCAACTTAAAATTATCAAATTTGGTACATATGTACTAGACAAGGTAGGAACCAGCAATTCCTACTATGTTAGCCAAAGAATAAGACAATTGGCAAGACTACTCAAAGCGCTTAAAGAGAAAGACGAATCCCTCCACCTTGAGGATTATATCSACCCAACAAGGTATGACGAGATTCTTTAATAAACAACAACAAGAGACATTTGTCAATTTGATGTACTGACAAGAAAGGTGTCTCTCCCAAGTATCGCCCTCCACCTTGGTCACTCCGTAAAAAAGTGTGCCATTATCGTCAAACGAGATGCACTGGCTAAGTCTCGCAAAGGTCACCCTGGCCAGGGTTATTCTTTTCAACAAAAGAAGACCTCTAGAAACAAGGCAAATAAAGATGTCAACATTTAATAACCGCCCCAAGTGGAGCAAAAGCAACAGTAGTACACTCAAAAGTTCCTTGACACCTTAATTGGAAAGACAGCTATGAAAAAGGTAAATAAAAATCTTGAACTTGGTGTTTGACACTACTACAGTTGATTATTTGAGTCAGCTTTATTAAGATTTGTTCATCTTACATTTGTATCTCAGAGTTTGAGATCTTGTTCTTTGCATTTTGGATGTATGATAATTTGGTCGAAATGACCTGTATTCTTTAAATCCAATGATCTGGAAAATTCAAATCGATAGTCACAAAAAAAATTTTTTTATCTAGAATGACTTAGTCGAGATGATTGGGAAATGTAAGAGGAAGGTGCCACTTCTTTTGACTTCAGAAACAAGAGAGGTCAGAGAGGGGATTGAATTTCTTATAAAATAAAGGCCAATAAGCATATGAGAGCTACAGTTGTAAAATTATATGTTGACTGAACTATATTTCCCATTAGACCGCTCATACCACCACATATATACTTGGTGTCTGTTTTATGAGCTTTAATTTAGGAGTACAAGGAAAAGGTATTAACTAGCACAGTAAGTAAAAAAAGCTTTATTTGGCAGGGCTTCTTACAACAAAAATTAAATTATAAAGTACATTATTTTGGATGCAGCAAATACTGAATATTATTACCATTCAATATTAAATGAATCCTACCTCTAGTGTACATCAAAACATGTTAGTAAAATAACATTAGTATTTCAAAAGTACATGTTTTATTTTATGTTTTATGGATTTAATAATAATGTCTGCATTATTTTGATGTGTACATCTTAATCTTGTGAAATAATTCATCCATTTTTGCTTGGTATCCCTGTGTCATGTCAATGTACAGGAGTTTGGCAAAAATWAGACCAAGCTGTCCTGCAGGTGGCCARGGAATGGGCTCTAGTAACAAGGGAATTATGGGTTTCTTGATGGAATCTGCTAACGTTGCTTCGCGTTGACAGTTTTCTGATTAACTGTATCTGTCCATCACATGTGTGATTATGACCTGAAATTAATRAAAATGTRACCAAAGGGTGATATAAAATTAATGTTACTAGCATTTGGCTTCTGATAGTCTAGTTTAATAGGAGCCAATACCTGGCATTCAGACAGTTTATTATAACTAGTTGTTAAAGTTATATCAACTAGCACACCAACCAACAAATTGTGCAAATATGCACATTCATCCTGTATTGTCCAAAAGTGCAGATAAAACAACTAATTTAATAAATGATATTCTTTGAAACGATATTGCCAATATCTATTTTGGGCTTCCTGTTGAAAACCAGACAGAACAAGAACATTACCTTGGCAGATGATTCATTTATCCGACTCGGCATACTGTTTTACCAGCGCAAGCAGGACCACAATATTTCCAAGCTAGATCACACATCCCAGCTGCAGGATGCATAAGTGCAGACCTCAAAGCTTCATAATTAGCAGAAGATCCAGCAATCTCTGTCCATCGTCTCAAGACAGCATAGCAACGTTCATACAATTGATTTTCATCAATTTCTATTTCGTCCAAGTCTGCTTCAAGAAGCCCCAAAGCTCTTCCCACAATCTTCCACTTTTCACCAATGTCCAATGCTAAACATGTGAGTTTTTCTGTTGGTATCACTCCTTCGTCTCCCTGTTGGCAAGTAACAACAAATAATATATTGATAAATACTATCATCACAAGACAAAAAAATTATGGTAATTACATTAATATTCTGTATTTAAAGGCAACATTTTTTCTATCTCTTATTATTAAATCTCAATTTCTCCCATAATCTCAACAGTAGTATGAAGCAGGTGACCAAAAGAAGGGGTTCAAGAAAGGATTCTTCTTATTTTCATGATGTATTTCTACCTACTGATCTCTAAGCTATTGTGTCATTATTTTGTGTACACATACCTTTGGTGTGGCATACCAAAATTCAAGATTTTGTACTTCWGGRCGTGASTYTTTACCAAAGCTTTTAGTGCACACTAGAACTTGTTGGTCATTGACTTCCAGAAGATGGATACAGTCATCGTTACTACAAGAAACTTCATGGTGTTTCGTGCATGGTTTTGGAGATTCACTACATGAAGGACACAATACAGACAGTTGACATCTCATTGAACGATAACAAGTACACTCTTCAGTGATTCTTTTCAAGGTAGATTCAATGAACCTTCGAACAGACACTGCTGGTTGGTACAGACAYGACTTGTTYTCTTGAAGGYTGCRTAGAACGACCTTGATGAATCGCTTCCTACAGATGATTATCAGTTCGTAATCTGAATATTTCCCGAGAATGAAACGCGAGACATTTCGGTAGAGATTTGGCTCGTGTTGACTACCATCCTGAGATGTCGAACACCAGGCAATGAATTTAGACACAAACAAAGAATATAAACCATGTGGGACAAAACCATCAATAAAATGCACATACAGCGTGCATGGTCCGATGGGTGATGRCTGAATATCTAATAATTCATCTGGAGATGATCGTAGCTGAGCAGGCACAAAGTAACGAATGTCAGCATCTTTCTTGAACCCAGCAATCAGTCCATAATGTTCCATCATTCCAAGAAGATCTTCTCTACTTTGGCCGCTATCTAGAAGTTCACTAAAAACATGCTCAACAAGCTCCATGTTCAGGATTCCACTTTCTTCAAGGTCATTCCAGTATTCTTCATACAAAGGATTCTAGAACAAATAATTACAGCGTGTTAAGAGTGCTATTCCATATAACAGGCTCTACTTTTTTTGAAAATACCACAGCAAGACAGGTTTGATTGTAGGCAAAGCAGGAAAAAGTTGACCCTAGCAACTTTTTGGTGCTGATAAGCAAGCTGTTGTTGTATGTAGGAATACATGTACCATGATAAGGTAAGTATTACCTGATCATCATAAGGTCTGATGGTGATCAACTTTCTAAACAGATCAATAAGCCACTGAGAATGGAGAACCACTGTATCGCCATGTTTGATGATGACACCAAGATCATGATAATAGTCTAACATGGCATGGATTTCATCACTTTCCTCTATAAAGCAAACTTCCATGACAATCTTTTCCAGGTCTGGCAACAGCAGATAATGAGTTTTCTTGTCCACCAAGGCTTTGATCACCTTAATGAGCAATACAAATTTCATCAACATTATAGCTAACAAGTAAATCACATATAAAATCGCCACATACCTTCTCGAAAATAAGCCATCTGACAGGTATATGCTCTCCCATGTAGGGTTCCTTTTCCAATACTTGAATAATCCTTGACTGCAAGCGTTGTATTCCATTGTCAGCTGATGACAGAGTATTATTCACAGTGAAGAATGGCTTCACCAAATGCTGCTGAAAGCTTTTTCCAGACAGGCTCTTTTTGATGACTATTTCCATTTTCTTGGGTTCTGCATAAGGCTGATCGGCATTGGTGCCAACTATAATCACTGGAGGTTGCAGGTATGGACAATCTTCAGGAATATTTTTGGACTCACTACTTTTCAATTCCTCATCCTGGTCACTGATTGGTCGAATGTTGTGTATTGAGGCCAACCATGACAGTAATGATTCTAGGTTTGTCTCTTTATCAGCATTCTCCAAGAGAATGTCAAAGGCACCTTGTCTTACACACGGCTCTGCTTCGGAAGCAAGATCTTTACTAAGATTATAGACCAATAAATAAACAGCTCTTGGAGACATAAACACAGGGTGTGAAGCATAGTAAAGATGCTGGCCTGCAAAGTCCCATATACTGACTATTGTCTGGGATTTTGTTRWGGAATCATCAAGATGTAGTCCTTGCAAGTAGTGAACCACTTTTTCAGTGACATCTTCCGGGACAGCTTCTTGTTTTGGTGCTTGATTTGGAGTATCTTCTTGAATTGCTTGAATTTCTGAGACAATTACTGGATAATCAGGCTCTAATGCAATATTTTTTCTTGGGAGAATAATGCTATCAATAGCATCAACTTGATCTTCCCCCTGGAATAACAAACACACAAATAGATTACAATTGAGGGATGACTTTCTCTTGCATCTGTCAATCAGTCATTTRAATGTAAATTTTGTTGATCATGATGATAACGATTGTTGATATCAGTGATTGCATTGGTTGATTGACAGATGTGTAAATTATGAGACTTGCTCACATTTACTGTTTGCTGGTCGAGGATTATTTCTGTATGATCGCTCTCTCCTTCCTCATTCATATCCTCCTGCTTTGCTTCTTGTTCTTCATTTTCATCTTTCTTCAGATCATCAGCAATCAATCTTGCAATATTATCAGCAAAGTCHGTGTGAGTGGAGTCRGTCATCCTCTGCCAATTCTTGACATTGTCAACATCAACACTACAGCAAGATGGATCAACTTCAACACCAACTGTACTCTYTTCTCYWGGATCAAATGGCAGCCCAAGAAGAGACTTCTTAAGACTAGTTTTACCAGCTCTTTCTTGTCCAACAAGCATTATACGGCCTCGATTCACAACTACTTTGCCATGCTTTAATGCCCTGCAGTAGGCAAGTTCTGCCCTTGGTCCACGCRCCTTAATCTCTGTTGGTACTGAGACAAATTATATGATAATATATTAGTTGGGAACTGGGATAATTTTACTTCCTTTGAAGTTGAGCTTCAACAATTATTGTCATTAGTGTACAGTTTATACTTTTTTACTGTTTATCAATAAATATATTATTGCAGAAAGCAAAAATAGTTACTTTGTGTTCCTTCTTCACAATCTGCATCTCCTGCRTCACTGACAATGTCTGCAAGGAAGAAAAAACGAAGACTGTCTTAAGTGATATAAGAAATATGAAATGAAATATGAGAAGAAAAAGGAAAATGAAATGTGAACAGAAAGTGCAATATTAGGGCAATAGAAAACCAATGAAAAAACGTACAACAAATTGGAAARCAGAGGTTTAATAAATACAAGGGAATAAAGATGGATCTAAAGGTGTGACAGAGGGCTTCATGTGCTACCTGTGKTGATGATTGGTGTTGCCAGGTTCCCATTAAATAACCCAACTCTTCCATCCTCCGCCTCTCCTAACCAGAAATTATCTGAAKGCTTGTGGTGCTCACTTGAAATACATTTCAATTGAGAGTCAGAAATGGTAATTTAAAAATAATTAGAAAAAGGTGTTACATTTATAGATATTTTATGGAAGGAGCGCATTATTGAGGATATGTTATAGGTCTTTATTATAATACTGACAATAACTAAATTACCTGCTCAAAGACTTGGAGATAAGAACAACCTGTTCATCTTTCTTAACTGAGATATCACCAGGGTGATGTGCTTTGAAGTTTGCAGTCATTTCAACCATGGGAGGAAAATCCTGTCAAGAATAGTGTGCGACAAACTCATAAATAATTCATGAAGAAAACAATAGAATTACTACCAACTTCGTTATCAGAAAAAAAAATGGTATAGAATTTCACCTTATAATAATAAACTTAGCCATCTTTCTTAAAGCAAGTAAAGAATGTAGTCAGCTATACTTACTTTACTTTGCAAAACTTCAAAGATTTCTTTAAATGATGGAACAGTGCTTAGCCTATCTTTATTCAGCCAACATCGTTTCAGCAATGGCATTAAAACCTCTGGACAATAAAGACTAAAATGGATTTTTTTCTGCAAAAAGAAAGGCAAATATACTCTGACTGAATGAATTAACTTATCAGGGCTTTTCAGGGATGTTAATTGGAAGCTTACATCTTTATGGTTTTTATAAGTAGCTTCTTGAGGACGTCTTTTTTCTAGCAAAAAGAAAATTCTCTCCACAAAAACAGCAAACCAGCATATCATTCCCTCTGTACTACCAATACGTGTCGATGGGTTGACTAATTGATGCATTGTAGCACCAAACCTTTCCTGTAGCTCCTCTGTCCTAAAATAAATAATACAGGTAAACATCATTTTCATCATATATTTCAAATGTGGTTAATCTTTAAGTAAAGATAACTTGAGTGGAGGCTGCTATTGCTAGTTGCTTGTAGCTTCAATTCCACTGTTTTTTTTATAGAGTGACAGGTGCCTAGGTTCACCCATGGCTAGGTTGCCATACCCTCCATTGTAACGACAAGTTAATTATAATTATAAACGTAAATGACTGAAAAAAGTCTGTTTTCCAGGTATTATTAGGAACAGAAAGAACCTGCAGTGTGTTTTCCCATAATCACATGATATTCTGTGTACTTATAGAATACTGCCCTAAAATGGCAACTATCAGTCAGCAACGTTAAGTGGGCTTATATCGGATTACTGTTAAGAAGCAATTTAAACAAGTTAACTTCTTTTGGCAATAGCTCGTCGTCATTAACTACAACTACCAGAGAATGGTTTGCTGACTTTCTTTTGTAACGCAATTAGTGCCAATTGTTTTATTAATCTCCAAGGGGATTAAAAATCTGAACAACAATGAAAATGCGCAAGGCTCTCTGGTATTTGTAGTAATATAAAGTTACGCTATCTTGGAAATAAACTTACTTGTTATGAAAATTCTGTTTTTCAACACAGCCACCAAATCCACCTATTTTAACCTGATTATTGCAATAAGTACAGAATTGATCAATATCATTTTTATATGGTCAATAACACTTCTCCAATGAAGATACAAATACTAGATAACATGAGGATAAAGACGGTATTGAACAGATAGTCTACTAACAGCAGAGGAGATAAGCAGGGAAAGATGGGTGGCTGAGTTATCATGGGACTGACACTGATTTGATTGGACTGTTTGTATAGATTTAATTAATTGACTATCTTAATGGCTGACTGGAGACCAAGTAACTAACATTTCTTGAGTAGAGAATAATAATTTTGGCTTTTGCATGATGGGAACCTTTTTTTAGAATTCGACTCAACTTTACAAGCTATAGGATGCACCCATAATAAAATAGKGTCCTCGGAATTTCTCAAAGAAAGGATCCTTATACAAAGCATAATAACAGCTAGAACATAGAAAAACATACCAGAGTAGGAGAAAAGATGTATACAGCAAATTCACTCAATCTACAGTGAACATATCCTTTGCTGTCCACAAAATGGAGCACAGTTACGATTTGTGGAAGTAATTTGCAGAAACTCTTAACGGTWACYAAATTCAGTGACTCTACGATATTTCCATTAGGAGCAAACTCTATCACCTGTAAAGAATAATACTCAATAAGTCTAGATCTCACACACTTTGAGCCAAAACTGATTATAAAGCATAAAAAAATCACTTTGACATTGCCATATCTTGTAGCATGATTTTACAATTTTTCTATGGTCAGATTACTGGCTATTTCATATAGTATACCCAATGGTTAGGTAGCCAATCAGAATATGGTAAACTAATATCGCATTTYATTGTTAATATATGTAATTATTATTACTATATTACTATAATATATACCAGTGCAATAGAGTTGACATAAGGACCAGGCACTACTACCCCATGTAGTTTGAGTATATTTGGATGGACTAGTTTGGATAACATTTTAGCTTCATTGAGAAAACCTTCCAGCTGATGACGGCTTCTAGGATAACGCAGGCAAACCCTAAYCTGGAAGAAGAGGAGTGATCCTATAATTTACAGCCTTTATATAGTGTATAGTCATTTACCACCCTTCCCTCCAGGAACCATTTTGTGGGTAGGGAGAGGGGGTGATGTCAATTATTAGATACTTACTGTTTTTCCATTTTGGTTCAAAGTGGCTGACAATGCTACTCCTGACAATGGGCCAGTTCCWAGTCGTTTTTGGACTGTGATGTCAGACAATGGGATGATGGGTACCCCTTCTTTTGCAAGCTCTGTCTCGTAGTCAAATTTGCCATGTTTCTGATAATTTGATACAATAMCATTGTAAAAGTTGCATATCTCACACCCTAGCTAGTACTGATAACAAATCTTCATTATAATTTAATTATCTTCTCAAGGAAAATACAACATGATTGGTTAAGTGGGTTGTTGAAATCTGCTGTGTCTTTGAAACTGTGCCTTGTTGGTGGAAAAGTTGAGGAACGTTTAGGCATGATTTTGTGTGACGTGCCTGCATGTGTATACCAGTGTATTATGTATAGAGTCAATTTCGTTTGAGTGGGAAACGTACGGTAGAAACTACCGCACGGTTACCGCACAGTTACCGGAACTGGCCTGCRCAATTTTTGTGAAGCAATGAGACACTAGAATTTGGTTACAGTACGATTACGGTTACAGTACAGTACCGTCCGTTTCCCACTCATACGAAATTGACTCTACTTGGTCACTGACTAGCATGACCTGTAATCAGGAAATAGGTATTTATAATTGCAGGTATTTGAGGAATCTGTAATTACTAGAAAATCTGACATTTTTTACAGCAATCAATACATACAATATACCTTAGCTAGCTGATTGAAGTTAGTGTTTTTATCTTTTGCCAAGGAAAATGCCTCCCTTAGTTTGCCAATATGATTAAAATGATGTAATCCTGTTTTCTTGCTTGAGAGAACTTGCTTCAAGTCATTAAGGCCATATATTTTGTGTTCAAAACACAGTTCTGGAAAGAAACCTGAGATTTCTTTCTCAGACAGAGCCAAGAAGAGCCGATCTAAGTCATGGTAACTTTGACTTGCACTTGAGGCATGCTGYAATCATAAAAATAATTAATACGTTTTTTAAGCATCGTATTTGTATAAACATCAGATATCAGATTTCAGGCCACGTGAAAATCAGCTYCAAAAATGAAAAGCGCTCATAACTGTAACCACTTTTTGGACATTTCAAGGCAATTAATTAAATAAATATTTTAAGAGAATTATGAAGATTTTTAAAGAAATTTCTGGTGGTTATCAGCTTGCAAACCAGATGACTATTACTGTAGATTTTGCAGATATCTCAAATTACAAAAGGCCATTTGCCCTGAAATTTTCAGGTTGTGTTGAGATTAATATAATCTTGAATTATTTGAGATCAGATTGTTTATTTTCCTATTTTTTTTCGATATTTTAATGTAAACAAATTACGTCATCGTAGTTATCGTTCGTGCTAATTTACAAATTAACAATAATAAAGCTTGTACAATTTTTTCCTGACACGCAAGTTTAAGATAAAAACAATAATAGTTATTAGTAACGAATGTACGCTAATAATAAGGGTGAAATATTGGAGTAATACACAGTTTTCAAACCTTAAAGTTACAATAAAGTTAATATAGTAAACAATAATTGTTGATAAACTTTCTAGGAGTAGATTATAAGCTACCTCAAATGTTTCGTTAGTGCTAATTCACCTGTTATGTCGTTATCAGTTATATTATGTTGTTATACATTAAGCAAAATGATCCTACATTAATATAATATGAAATCACAGCGTATACTATTAAGTTTCGTTAAGTACGTATGCCAAAACAACACAACGCACGCACAGAAAGCAACACAAAGATTTTCAACCAAATATTCCACTTTTGCTCACCAATATTTCGTTCTTCAGTCTTTTAAACATCGAAGAGCTTAATTAAAGAACCAAAACTATTACAACATAGAGGTTTTTGGCTTCATCATAACGTCACGCATCAGCCCAATGCCGCCAATGTCCCTCCCTAGGACATAAATAACTTGAGCAGAGGAATTTATTGGCTTCCTGTGTTTAACACAGGACTCCCGTAAATATTTCATGATTCTTGCATTGCTTACATCTACTCTAGCCGATATTCAGGTAACTCTTTGGGAAGTTCACATACTTAATTTGCGCTTAAAGTGCGCTTTCCGTTTAGTAAGAAGTGATTGTCTCTTGCTCTCTCTTACATATTTGTGTTTCGAAACCTCATCCTGGACCTCATGTGCTCATAAATGTCAATAGAGGATCGACAAGCCGATCCTGATATCATCGATATCATGAGGATACATCGTTAAACTAAAACATAGCTTGCAGGTACGTTCAATTTTAAAAGAAACTGTGCAATATGAACACTTTGTGAACTTTCCTTGATTCTGTGTACCATAGAATTCTTTGGTGTCCAAGATTTTGCCACCCATACAACTTACTACAACCATCATGTCGACGGATTCAGAACTACATCAAGATCCAAATAAGGAGGTAAGACTGCCATATATACATATATCTCACTCGCCTTTGTAAGCATTTGAAAATGTTTAACTACTTGCAGGTCACTGGAAGACATGTAATTGTAATTGATTAAAATGATAATAAAGTGTAAAGCATTCCCAAGAGAGAAACCATGTTAGGGGGGGGGGGCTAGGGGGGGGCATGCAAATTTATTATCCTACGTTGTTACTTCTATAGTCAATACAACATTTATTAGAATCAAAAGAGTGGGGTTTGTGTCAATAATGAAGACATGTCAAGGGGGTAGGTCATTTGAAAAATTGTATCTGACTATCAAATGCAACCTAGAGTATGTGAGCATGCAGCTACTGGGGAGAGTGTGTTGAAAGCACAGTAGGACATTTGCTCCTAAAAGAGTCACTCTGTTACTTCATACAAGATTGAGAAACAGGAAAAGGCTGTGTCTACAAGRCTATGAAAAGTCTTTATCTATTTCTACAGCATGTCCACACTGCAAGTGATGATTTCAACGACTTTGACCGTCTGTATTTAAGTCTTGCTGAGAAAGAAGTCGCAGTTCTTTTCAATGAAGTATGCATTGAAAACCAAGTTGGTTCACTTGAAGACTTCAAACAAGTAATAACAACTAAAAAACGACAACACCATGTGGTTAAGCTAA